CGAAGCAACGAGACGGACCGCGTCATACGCAATTCGATCCTCTGCGCCCGCGTCAAGACCACGTCGCCGCCGGGGCCGCTCGAAGGCGCGGCCGTGCGCACGTCGGCGCCCACGAAATCGAGCAGCAGCAGCAGCAGCAGTAGCACCGCCAGCGGTGGCATGAACGACGCGACTATGTACACGTACGTGGGCGTCGCCGTCATTGGGGCACTCTGCAGCGTGGCCTTTTTGCTCTTTCTCTTGCGGCGCCGACGCCGACGTCGGTCCACGACATGTCGCCCGCTCTCGGCCACGGGCGAACCGAGCGCGTCACGGCAGGGCGTCACGACCGGTGACGACGGCGACGAGTACTACGACGCCTTGTCACCGGCCGCGTCCATGGCATGGACAAAAGACGTGCCGACGGTCCGCGAGAAGGAAGTCGAGGTCCTCCAACTGCTGGCACAAGGCGCGAACGGCCAAGTGTTTCTCGGTGTCTACAACCGGCGCCATGTTGCGATCAAGACGATGCTACCTGGCCACCACACGTCGCAGGAGATGTTTACCATCATGCACGAGATCGGCATTCTCTCACGGTACGCGCCCGTGCTGCTTTTGATGTCTTTGATTTTTGGCGATTTTTGGCTGATTTTTGAATGATTTTTCTCACGTTGCCGTTGGTAGATTGCAACATCCGTCGATCGTCCAGTTTCTGGGTGTCCTGGCGCCGCCGCGGACCGAAGGCGACGTCCGGTTCCTCGTCGAGTACATGGATCTCGGAGACCTCCGCGATCGGCTACTACACGCGACGCCGCAGTCGCTGCCGTGGCACGGCCCGGAGAAGCCGTCCATTGCGAGCCAGATCGTCGCCGGCCTCGTGTACCTCCACGCCCAAGATATTATCCACCGCGATCTCAAATCACGCAACATTCTACTCTCATCGGGCGGCGGCGCCAAGATCTCGGACTTTGGCGCTGCACGCCCTGCGTCGACGACGCACACCATGACGCGGGGCGTCGGCACGTACCGCTGGATGGCGCCCGAAGTGCTGAGCGAGAACCAGTACTCGGTCGCGGCCGACATCTTTTCGTTTGGCATTCTGCTCACGGAGCTGGACACGCACATGATTCCGTATACAGACGTCAAGAGCAAAAAGTCGGGTGCGCCGCTCGTCGACACGGCGATCGTGTCGATGGTGATCGCCGGTGCGATCCAGCCGACGATGCGCGTCGACTGCCCGATGTGGCTCCAAGAACTTATTATGCAGTGCATTGCGACCGACCCGAGTCTGCGCCCGACCGCGCACGACATTCAACTGCGCTTTCAACAGCATGGCTTTTCCCAACGTGTCTAGCGTGGATCCGCCAACTCGTATTTATTCCACTTGGATTTCTTCCACATTTTCGGATTTTGAAAAAAAGCGTTGGTGGATTGGAGTGGACACCTGTTCCCTCTCCTGCGTGACGACCTCTCTACAGGGATACTAAAATGCATGACGCTACTTCTACAGTAGAACGATACGTCGATCGATCATTGAGAGCCTCTGAACCCTGCGCTTAGGTGCTAGGGCTAGGTTAGGGCTAGGGTAAAACCCGCCGGCCCTCAATGCTGTGTACGACTCGTCTTGTGGATATGTGCCTCGATCCACTTGGTGGATAATGCACCTCTTCGGTAGATTCGTCTTGTGTATTGTACTGATCTATGTCATTTGGTGTGGTCGATGTATAGTAATTTTTGATATGTATATTTATGGTTGAATTTATCACTGTGGTTGTGCTACGAGGGACCAAAAAAGCGGCTGATGATGTGGCTATTTGTTGGCAGAGCGACGGGCACGCACTATGGGTTGGGCCCGGGTCGGCGCACGCGCGCCATCGATCGCGCTGCCGTACCAACCTTCTTGTCGGTAGCAAACACTAGAATGGTACCACGTGTGGAAAGGTTGTCCACTGGACAATGGTTTCCAACGCCGCGTGGGAAAAGACACTCGGGTACGTGGCGTAGACCACGGCAAAAACGTCCATCAACCCAAGACGCGTGCAATACGCGATCGTCTCGACGTCGGCGGCGCGACACCGGGGACGTGTGTACTATCTCGACACGGTTCCTACTGTGGCGGCGGACGCAGTGGCGAAGACGCTCCACCCAAATGCCCTGCGCGCCGCGCTCGCACACGCGCTACCACAGTCGCCACGAGCCGCCGTCGCAAGCTGCTCGATCCCCTCGCCCGTGTAGACATCGCCGCTGCAAGCGGTTGACCAGCTCCACCGCCGAGCGATGCGGGGCCATCATGCGAACTTCCTGCATTGAGAACATATCGGGCCCCGCGCCGCCTTGCAACAGCGCTTGATGGGCGAGTGTGACGCAGCAGCGCCATGCAGAGAGCCCCACGCGCAGCCATCGTCGCGCCGGCAGGCGAGGAGCGCAGCCAGTGTTCGAGGGTCCTAGGAAGGAGCTCCGGCCACGAGGTTGAGAAACCGCTGGAGCTCGCTATCGACGAGACGCGGCTGGACGATATCGAGCAGCCACTGTTGAGCTCAGTAGTGGCCATGCTGGAGGGCCGCGGCGTCGTCGAGTGCGCGGTCCGAGCAGCCTTCGTGGCGCGCCGTGTGCAGAAAGGCGAGTACGTCAAAATGTCCGTTCGAAGCGGCTCCGTCCATGGCGCGGACGATGCAGCCTTCGTGTCGATACTGTTGCTTCGGTCGGGCCTTGTGCAGGAGCCGGTGTGTGTTTCTTGCTCGAGCAGGCGGGTACTAGGACCCCGTTGGGACCGTCCGAGCTATCTGCAGCGCGCCGTGTCCCAAGGTGAAGCGCTCGAGGTAGGCTCGGAGCACGCCATCGACGCCATCGACGCCATCCTGGAAGCTCAAGATGACCGACGCCAGCGCCGACGACCTGTCGACACCGTTGGTGTGCGGTTGATTGTGACCTGGCTCGATATGTTCAACGCGTTTTTCTAGTTTACCGCCATCAAATACCGTGTTTTTATGACGCGTGAAACACGTGGAACAGGTTGAACGCCATCGCGGTCGGCTCAATATATATGCCCGACCAATATGTGCGCGCCTGGCGACACGGTATCAATATAAAAAGGCAATGGGACTTGATACTTCATGAGGAGGTTTCACATTGCTCTTTGGCGATGATGCGGCCTGTCGTTTGCGTGACGATGTATCGTCGGAGGAAGCGCCGGCGGGGGACGAGAGAAGGCTGTCGCTGCGCCAGCATAGCAATGCACCTGTAGCAAGCTACCGTACCAGTAGCGAATGCATAGCAAGTCCACGTACGGTTTGGTAGCTGGAAAGACGGTCGCATTCCGACGCCACGTCGACAGTTTCTGCGGCCATTGTGCGTCCGGCGCAGAAGCATATCGAATAACATCGAAGACAAACTACCTGGTACATAGCGATGCCCATTGCGAAATTTCACGACTTTGGCGGGCGAGAGGTTCGAGGCCTTTTTCAGAGCTGATAGTTGAACGCACCCACATACATTCATCCCACGGCACCATCGAACCCTAGCCCGCATCGCGTTGGATGACCAGATTTGCATCGTGTCGCTCGTTGTGCTTGGCAAGGCAGTGGGACGAAGAGCCCCTTTCGCATCGACTAGGCACGATTCGCTGACCACGGCAGGCTCGTTTGGAGCTCTCGGTCCGATGCGTTCGCCGAATCGATTGGGTGTTACGGAAAACGCGATCTCACGTTCCGCCGTATCCTAGGGCCTTCGCGTCCGATTCAAGCCTGCCGCCGCGTCATACAGGCGTGCTTACTTCACGTACACTCGAGTGTCTGATATCCTAGGGCAAGGATGAACCTGTACAAGTGTAGTCGATCGTACGTCGGCGATCATATCATCTTATCAACTCAGATCTTAGGTGGTTTGGTTTCTTAAACAAGTACGCGCCGTCCGTTTGCATCGACTAAGATGGACCGTCTTTGCCTGATGTCCCAAACCGACAACCGTACGATGTGCTCCTTCTACGACCATCGTAGGTACACGTGGGAGTCGCTCTCTCTGGCGCGCGTCGTCGTTTCCTTGGCCCTCGCTGCACCACTTCATTTTTCAAAATGGCCAAGACCACTCCGATCCTCCTCTCCACGCTTGCGCTCGCACTCACGAACGCGCAGTCGGGCTTTGAAGCCCTCACTTTGGATGACGCGCACGCCCTCGCCAACGAGCTCGAGGCGTGGAAGGCGACGCCGGCCGGCCAAGCGGCGGCCACCCTCGGCTTGCTCCCGACGCCGTCCAAGCTCGAGTCGACGGAAGTCGAGGTGAGCGAACTCGAGCGCTTCTTCGCGGCCAAGGAGGCCGTGGCCCGTCTTCAGCGCGAGCAGCCGAGCGCGATCTTTAGCATCGCGACGCCGTTCGCTCTCCTCACGGCCGACGAGTTCAAGGCGACCGTCGCGCGCTCGTTTGAGCAGAGCAAGCGCCTGCGTGAAGATATGCAAGTCGAGACGCGCCAGCTCCAAGCCATCGGCAAGAATTCGGTGGACTGGACGACCCACAAGTGCCTCCCGGAGGTGCGCAACCAAGGCAAGTGCGGGTCGTGCTACGCGTTCGCGGCCGTCGCCGTGGCCGAGTTTGCCCACTGCCTCGCGACGGGCGAGAAGGTCGACGTCGCGGTGCAGCAGCTCGTGAGCTGTGATTACCGCAGCGGTGGCGGTTGTGACGGTGGCAGTGCCAACGCTGCCATGGACACGCTCTCGCGCATGCCCATGTGCCTCGCGGCCGACTACCCGTACACCTCCGGGACGACCAAGGTCAACGGCGAGTGCAAGTCGTCGGCGTGCCCGACCAAGAAGCAGCTCAAGATTGGCTCCGCCGTGCGCACGTTTGGTGAGAACAACTTGGTCGCGTCGCTCCAATTGCGCCCGACGGCCGTGACGGTCGAGGCCGGCAACGATGCGTGGCGCTTCTACAAGGGCGGCGTCGTCACGTCGTGCCCGGGCAAGCGCTCGGACCACGCCGTGCTTGCGGTCGCGTACGGCACAGAGAACGGCACGGCGTACTACAAGATCAAGAACTCGTGGGGACCCAACTGGGGCGACAACGGCTACATCAAGCTCCAGCGCAACGCACCCAACACGTCCAGCGGCATGTGCAACGTCGGCGAAGGCCCCATGTACCACCGTCTCCGCTAGATCGACCCTAGTACATGTAGTAAACAGTAATATTGTCCCATTGGCTTCCTATATCCAAGCAGGTTGCATCCTATACATACTGGGCCAGGCTTGCATGTAGTAAGTACGTTGCATCCCGTGGATGGGGAGCGAGCGGCGACCTTGCCTTTCTAAAAAGCAACGCACGTGATTGGACTGTTTTCGTGCTTCGAAAAATGACGCCGTTTGATTGGTCCCTCTCAAAATCCGACTATGTACGCATATGCGGACAAGCTTCCAGAATCGAGCTTTGGCAGACTCGGATCGCTGGCAGCACTGATGGCCAGCTTCGTCGACATCTTCCGCGCGTCGGCGCCGTTCGCAGCCATCATCACGAGCTTCCAGGACGGCCTGTATGAAGACATTGTCGCGTACATTGCTACGTTTCGCCGCCACGCGTGTGAGCATCCGCGCAGCACCAAGCAGCGACCGCTCGCGCATGAAGCGACCATCTACCCGAGCCGCCTCCTGCCCCGCGCGTCGCTCGACATGGACTGCGTCGACCTCTTCTTGCAGACCGGTGACATTGGTCGGCAAGCGTTTACAGCGCCGATCCACTTTGCTGTCGCGATGGGCCATACCGAGATCGTGCTTCGGGCACTGGCCTGTCGCCCGCGACGACTCTCGGTCGAGCTCATTGCGTGCGCACTGGCCCATGCCCGCGTGGACCTGGCCAAGCACTTGCTGGCGAACATGGACAGCTTGGACGCGACCCGCGTGCCCCGCTCGCGGACGACGACGGTCGAGGCGCGTGTGGCGGCCCGCGATGCCCCCGAGCTCTTTTTGCTGCTGAA